GAATGAGTAGTAATCAGAGAGAGAGGAGGGGAGAGAGGGAGGATATTTGGGGTGAGTGAGAACGTGTAGAAATCAGAGAGCGAGGAGGGGAGAGAGGGAGGATATTCGGAGTGAGTGAGAATGTGAAATAATCAGATCCGCCATAATCTTATCAAATGGAAGAGCTGACTTGACAGGCCCAAGTGGCCTACTCGTGCTCCTGAAGTGTCTGAGTGAGCATAGAGCAGTGCTTGAGTCTGGGGTCTTGCCTGTTTGGAGCCAGCTTCGGTTCGAATCTGTTTGCTGACTTTAATGCAGGATTGTCTGGACCTGGCTGTATTGGCACACTGTGAGTGAAGCCGTTCTATGAGAAAGGGTTACTCACTGACCTTCTCTAGCTGCAGCTTCCCTGGGCCAGCTCTGACTCAGGAATCTGTGCGCTGAAGCCTGAATCCGGAAAATTAGCACCAACATCCAGGTGCACCCTTACTGATGGGACACTGCATGTGGAGGTGTCAAACAGATGTCACATTCAACCGCACCGTGCCTACTCTGTCCATCAGAAAAGCTTCGACAGCATGACTGCAAGAGACAGATTTCTTCCTCCATCCTGGCCAAGATATATCCCTCAACAAAGAGCAGCCCCTCCCATGAAAACACTGCCTCACCTACTTTGGCATTCTCCATGTTTCTCCCCCTCCCCACCTTACCCTGACCCCAGCCACTATCCCTGTAGCACACACACACACCCACACACACACACACACCCACCCACACACACACACACACACACACACACACACACCGACACACACACACAGTCAGCAAGTCATTCCTTTCAACAATACCCAGCCTAGCAGAAAAATCAACCTTCATCCACAAATGAATTTCCTCTTTGGTCCACAGTCTGACACAAATGGAAGCAGCATCCCGATCACACTGTGGTTTATTGCAGTGTTCCTGGGGATGGTCTCAGCCCCCTTCCCCCACGTCCTGGGCTAGTCAGGCCTGCTGGAGCTGTAACATCCTCCACCCAGAAATGACCTTTTATCTGCTCGCAGAGGCAGGCAGCACAGAGGACAGCAGGGACAATGCCAATCATATCGAGAGCTATTTGTTCACATCCGTTACACAGAGTCAGCGCTCTGATACCAGTTTATATAAACACACACACACACACACACACACACATGGACACACAGGAACATAAACACACAAATGTACAGACATACAGATTCCCCTGTGCACACACATATGCACAGGCACAGACACACACAATAGTACATCTGCAGCAGAACAAAATCTCTGTTCAATCCAGCTGATTTCAGTACTGCAAGTGTGAAGCGATGACATTATAAAAACACTCAGCTCACTGTTAAATACGGGACCCTGCTCCACAGGATGTCTCTGGGCTCTAGGCTCAAACATAACTCGCAGGTGCCTACCTGAAGAATCGGCAGTGTGCTACATGTCCAAGGTTAGAGGGAGAAGAACACAGAGAGAAAGGGCGGCCTCACCTATCAAAGCAGACTCGATCCTACAATCTACGTGCACATAACACTGCACAAGGCAAATGGTTCTCCCCCCAACCCCCACTATTTCCCCTCCTCCAGCCCAGATTGCACAACCAGCCCCTCCCCTTCTCTCAGGTTTCACTGAAATTTCAAAGGGTACCAGATGCCAATTGTCAGGGGAGGGAGGCACAGAATCACCTCCAGACACTTGTAAACAGGCTGCGAGGCAGTCAGGGAAATGCTGGGACAATGGATCTGATTTGCCTGGCAGCATGCAGTGAGACTGGGCCCCAGCCTAAACCAGCTCCACAGCAAACAGCTGATCCCAGAGAGTGTCAGTCACGCGTCCCTGCACAATGTAACACAATTCAGTTCCATTCTCTGCAAACAACACATTCCCTGAGAGAAAGCTCACACACACACGCGCAGCCTCTGTCTCTACACAGACCAGCACAGCGCACACATAGATTGGGTGCTCATTGAGCCCTGAATAGTTTCACAATCCTGGTATTCCTCCTCGCACCCCGCATCCCCATCTCAACCCAGAGCCCCATAAATCTCTCCGAGACAGCAAGAACTGCCGATGCTGGAGTCAGAGATAACAAACTGTGGAGCTGGATGAACACAGCAGGCCAGGCAGCATCAGAGGGGCAGGAAAGCTGACGTTTCAGGTCAGGACCCTTCTTCAGGAATGGGGGAGGGGGGAGGGAGCTCAGAAATAGAGAGAGGAGGGGTGGGGCTGGGGAAGGTAGGTGGGATGGTGATAGGTGAGTGCAGGTAGGCAGTGGTGGGAATTGGTCAGTGAGGTGGGTGGGGTGGATAGCGGGGACAGAAGATGGACAGGTTGTATCAGGTCAAGGAGGCGGGGATGAGAGAGAGGTTGGTCATGGGATGAGGCTGGGGGTGGGGAGATTTTAAAACTGGTAAAGTCCACATTTAGGCCATTGGGCTGTAGGCTCCCAAGGTGGAATATGAGGTGCTGCTCCTCCAGTTTGCGGGTGGTGGTCATTGTGACACGGAGGAGGCCCAGGATGGACATGTCGCCCAGGGAGTGGGAGGGGGAGTTAAAATTGTTGGCGACCGGAAGGTGTTGTCGTTTGTCGTGTACAGAGCACAGATGCTCCACAAAATGGTCTCCGAGCCTCCGCTTGGTCTCACCGATGTAGTTCATGTGGACTTTAATAAGGCATTTGATAAAGTCCCACGTGGCAGATTGGTACTAAAACTAAAATCACATGGGATTCAGGGTGGGCTGGCTAGAAGGATACAAAACTGGCTTGGTCATAGAAGACAGAGGGTAGCGGTGAAAGGGTGTTGTTCGGAATGGAGACCGGTAACTAGTGGTTTTCCACAGGGATCAGGCTTATTGTTTGTAGTATATATAAATGATCTGGAGGAAAGTGTGGGTGATCTGATCAGTAAGTTTGCAGATGACATGAAGATTGGTGGAGTTGATGATAGTGCCAATGATTGTGAAAGAATACAACAGGATGTAGGTTAATTGGTGACTTGGGCACAGAAATGGCAGATGGAGTTGTCCAAAGATGTGCAGGTTAGGGTGGATTGGCCATGCTAAATTGCCCATAAGTGTTCAGGATGTGTAAATTAGGTGGGTTATAGGGGGTGGGTCTGGGTGGGATGGTCTGAGGGTCAGTGTGGACTTGTTGGGTTAAAGGGCCTGTTTTCCACTCTGTAGGGGTTCTATGATTCTATGATAGAGTTTAATCCAGACAAATGCAAGGTGATGTACTTTGGAGGAACAAAATTAGGTGTGAATTATACTGTTAATTGCAGAAGCCTTAGAAGATTAACATACAGACAGATCTGGGTGTGCAGGTCCACAGTTCCCTAAAAGTGGCAACACAGGTAGCCAAGGTGATTAAGAAGGCATATGGTATGTTTGCCTTCATCGGCCGGGGCATGGAGTACAAGAGTTGGCAAACCATTTTGCAGCTATAAAACCCTTGTTCAGCTGCATTTGGAGTATTGTACACAGTTTTGGTCACCACATTACCAGAAGGACATGGAAGCTTTGGAGAAAGTGCAGAGAAGGTTCACCAGGATGTTACCTGGTCTCGAGGGCATTGGCTATAAGGAAAGGTTAAAAAGACTAGGACTGTTTTCACTGAAAACACAGTGGCTGACAGGAGACCTGATACAGCTCGACAAAATTATGAGAGGCATAGATAGGGTGGATAGTCAGAGGCTTGTTCCCAGGGTTGAAGTTTTAATTACAAGGGGACACAGGTTCAAGGTGAGAGGGGGAAAGTTTAAGGGAGATGCACGAGGTAAGTTTTTCAGGCAGAGAGTGGTAGAAGCCTGGGATGTACTGCCAGAGGAGGTGGTGGAAGCAGGCAACATTGGCAACATTTAAGAGGTGTCTGGATGGTTACATGAATAGGGAGGGAATAGAGGGATATGGACCGACTAAGGGCAGAAGGTTTGTTTTTTAGTTTAGTCAGGGCATGATGATCGGCACAGGCTTGGAGGGCCGAAGGGCCTGTTCCTGTGCTGTACTTCTCTTTTTTGTTCTTTTTGCTGGTCCCATTTCAGTAAATAGCCTCTGTATTTCTCTCTATGTCCTTCCTAACGGGAGGAGACTCGAACTGAACACAATATTCTAGCTTGAACCTTAGGCACATTTCATAGAGGGTTTAGTAGAATAACCCCTTCAGCTGTCTTTCAGATGAAATGTTAA